AATGTAGATGATCAGTGCTGAATTGTTTGCTTCTTCACTAGTTAAGAGGTTTATTTTCTGCTTTTAATAAAGTTTAAAATGCTGGATTACCTACACGTCTGCGTGCCATTTGGAATTCATGGGATCTTGATCTAGCATTAAAATTATGCTTGCACTTCACAAGATTTGATATGGAGAACTCACATAAACGTTTGACAAATGGCCTATGAGAAACAATGGCTACTATATTTTAGAAATCTCTAATAGGATGCCTACTTGGATCCTGGATGTCAGTGACAAAGGCAAGAAAATAAAGAGGGAAACATATTTCCACGAATGGTTCCAGAAAAGAACAAAATGCATTTGCTGTGCCTACTTGAGTGAAAGAGAAATTTAAAATATTCTAAAATTTACTGGATTGATTTTATTTAATAAGGGAGTGTGTCAAGAAAAACAGCTCTCTCCATCATTTGTCTTTTCCTCACAGAATATTGCCCAAACTTCTATGTCCGCTTCATTTTTACTAGTGGTCTGTCTATCCAGAATGAAAGTATCCGGGAGAAATCCTTTTGATGTGACTATGATTCCATACCCTAATTGGATTTGAGTTTACCATGAACCAATTGATTCTATATGATTACTACCCCTTTGACCAAACCTATTGAATTGTTTTCATATTATACAAAACTAAAGCTAGCGTTTCATGTAGAATGTCTATTGCGCTCATGGCTGCATGGACGTAAGGCCTCTTCAATTGGTATGAGGGTGATGTGTGATTCTTTTACTCTATCTGAATGGGAATGCTTATATTTTTTTATCTTGGCACTATCTTTGATGTGTTATCTTTATTGATAGGGTAGTATTATTGTCTTGGGTCTAGGAGCCCCTTGGAGGCCTCAAAATTTCACTATTAATTTACATAATTGAGTAGAGCAGGGAAAATGCAAAGTGTAGCCTTAGTTTTTAGATTTGTGAGCCATCCCGAATTGAGAAGGATGCAACTAGCTTCATAACAATGGAAAGCATTCGATTTTAGATGAAATGAATCTGAATTCTGAAAAAATAGCTTTCTGTCTGGTTAGATTGCACAAGTTCATTCCTTAGCTCAAAGATATCAATTGTAGCCTATTTCATGCTTTTTACTGTATTCATGACAATCAGGAAGTATTATTTTGACGAGCCTTCAGAACATTGTACGAAATGAAGGAGTGAAGGGATTGTACCGTGGCCTTTCACCAACATTGACAGCATTACTTCCAAATTGGGCAGTGAGTATTACCTTTCAATTGAGTATTGCCTTTCAATTGTTTTTCATGTACTTAGAAGTTCAAATAGTTCGGTTTCTTCTTACATCTCCGTAGCTGACAGAATACTTGTCATTTGTAGGTTTACTTCACTGTTTATGGACAACTCAAAGAGCTGCTGCATTCACATGGTCTGTGTTCTACTATGCTTATTTGGCTATCTTTCTTAAGTTTACTTAAAAGTTTTATTCGAATTGTCACTGTTTACACTGGCCCTTAACTTATTTTTGGTTATTTTAGTTGTTGATAGAATATAAGTATTGGCACTTATTATCTAATTCTGGGAACTTGTCTTGTGAGCATACAGAGGATAGAAATGGTCAACTTTCATTTGGCTCAAACATGATAGCTGCTTCAGGAGCTGGGGCTGCTACATCCATTGCAACAAATCCATTGTGGGTTGTTAAGACACGACTTCAAGTAGGTTGGGATGTTCTTATAGCCCCAGTCCTTTATATTCAACTGGTTGTAGTAAATCATATCACTACTATTTAAGCGATGTCATACAGAAGATATAATTTGATTGTGGACTTATCCTATTGTCTATTGCGATTGTGAATCTTTTTGTTTGTTTCTTTTCTATAGAAGTTATTATTTGATAATTTCGGAAAGTAGTTGTGTTGTGATAGGGTTTTTGTATCATTTCCTATTGATGACGTTTTTCACATCTCTAGATTCTTTAATGGCTATTTTTTCAAGAAACTCGTTTAACGTGTCATCTCTTTGTTTAGACACAAGGAATGAGGCAGGGCGTTGTTCCTTATAAGAATATTTTTTCTGCTCTGAGACGCATTGCACGAGAGGAAGGAATTCGAGGATGGTATAGGTCAGTGCTTTAACGTTCAGTTTTCAAAATCTAAAATTGAGAATCTCATTTTTCTATCCATGCATTGTTGGATTGCTGTATATTGTTGCTTGAGTGTATTTTTTTTTTCTTTTTCTTTTGGAAATGGATTATTAATTAGTGAAATTGAATGGTAACAAAACCTCTGTGTTGTTTTTTCTTGTCGTAAAAGAAAAATAAGTGCAAGGTCTCTCATTATCTGTATCTCTCTCACATAATTAATATATTCATTTTAAATATTATATGTGGCTTATACAGTGGCCTTCTGCCTTCCCTGGCTGGGATTAGTCATGTCGCTATTCAGTTCCCTGCATATGAAAAGATAAAATACTACTTAGCAAAACGGGGTAAGATTCGATACTTATGTCCGCGCTTTGCTTATTTTTTCCTCTTTTTATGGTATTAGCTGAAAGAACTAATTTCTTGCCTGTGAGCTGTCTGACTCTAATCATTTGTTCTACAATATAACAGAAAACAAGAGCTCCAATGATCTAAGCCCTGGAAAAGTTGCAATTGCCTCTTCATTTTCAAAAGTGATTGCTTCTCTTTCGACTTACCCACATGAGGTAAACTTTACACATATGTTGCTTAACGAGTCAGTAAAACTGAATAGCCATGCAAACATTTCAGAAAGGATCTAACGACCGGGCAGTGTCTTGATTTTGTCTTCGTCTCCACTGACCTTCTATGAAGGGATGTGGTGTTCATTGCACCTGATTTTGAACATATTGTAATGTCTGAACTATGTATTCACCAGGTTGTGCGGTCGAGGTTGCAAGAGCAAGGACGAATGAGGAATTCTGTGTTACAATATGATGGTGTTTTTGATTGCATCAAGAAGGTGTTTGAAAAGGAAGGTCTTAAGGGATTTTATCGTGGTTGTGCTACTAATCTCTTGCGAACAACTCCATCTGCTGTCATAACTTTTACCAGCTATGAGATGATTCATAGGTTTTTGCTTCGCGTTTCACCTCCAGACGAGAAGCACTCAGAACCACAAGCGAAACCTGATGGCCAGTTCAAGTTCCACAAGGAAACTGTAATTTCTGGTGATGCCCCTTCTAATAACCGGAGTAGTTTGGTTTCTTTGGAAAAATCAGATAAGTTACCAGCTACACATTGAATAGAATTAGTTTCCAGTGCAATCTCGCAAATGGAATCTTTAATACATACAATTCAGTAGAGATTGTTGGAAAAATTTTGTTCGCTTTCCTGATTGTGTAATAAGTTGAAAATTTATTCTTTCACATTTTTCGAGTTTCCCCTTTGTCCAAAGGATTGGAAAACCTTTACTAGAGCAACCATTTGCTGTGTTTTTTTTTTTTTTTTTCCTGAGTGCATTGTCAAATTACAACTAATTTTAAATTTATCAAATATAAGATGTAGCTTGTTAAATGTTCGTGGCTGTGGAGGTTGAAGATTGAATCAACCACCTATACGCTGTGTGAGAAATTCTGGTCTGTTTAAGTTGGTTGTTTGGTTTCGTTTCTCCTTTTTAATTTGTGTTTTGTAAAGTAAGAACAGTGAAACAGCAATGAGAGGCGTGAGGTAAAATAGAGTTTTTCCAAAGTTAATAATACTATTTTTTTAATTTAGAAGGTTTTTTGGAAGTATGCTAAAATCATAGGTAGCAAAAGGTAAGAATTTCATTTTAAAAGACATGTCCAAGGCATCGCTTAAGCATGCCTAAGCTTAAATGTTC